TGGCTACACACGGTAGCCCATGGCAACCCACTGCCACAGGGGCTGCAGCCCACGCCGTCGCTGGCGACTCATGGCAGCCCAGCTCCAGGTTGAGCCGTTGTTCAGCATCTTAGCTGTAGAGGGCAGTGTCACTGGCCCTCATATGTGGGATCCGAACCGGAGCCCTCTGGCGTCCCAAGCGAGTTCTTAACCGTCGCGCCACTCGGCCGGCCCCAATAATTTTATTTTTTATTTAAATACCTAGCGCTAACTAAAGCACTTTTTTAGGTAGAGAAATGGAGACGTATAATGAGGACGTAAATTGTGAACCAGAAGCTATTTGGGGATTAGAATCTAGGTCTTTTGACTCTGCCTAGCATTTTATTCTCCAGGCAGAGACTATGTTTGACTTATTCATGTGTTCCCCTTAACACCCAGCATAGAGCATTACATACATATGATGCCCAATGACATTTTTTGAATTATAAATGAATTCTCTTTTGCTAGTCTTATCCTCTTGGGAAGGAGGGAAAGTAAGTATACTGCTAGAGGCTCTCCCAGCTTAATGGTTCCTCTCCTGTTAGTTAGTCAGACCACACTCAAGTTTAGGGAAACTTCAGCAGAAGGTTTCTTCACATATTATGCGTGTTGTTCTAAACAGGGAGCATTCAGATACTTCGGGAAAGCTGAGCTCAACCTGTCAGAAAGGGGCTTCTTGTGGGACTGAGTTTTGTGACGGGAAGAGCAAGTTTGGAAGGGCGATCCGTAATGGACTGAGGCGCATGCTGCTGCTCCACGTTGGCTGCTCCCCTGGAAGCCAAGGAGAGCTGACCATGCACTTGGCGCGCTGTGCTGTGACTGGGACAGTTATGGATCCCATGGATAGACCCTTCCCTGTGCCGTAGTGACAGCCTGGTTTTATCTGACTTCATTTTCTTTAGTTTGCTTGAGCCCATCAACTGTCTTCCATTGGCTGGGAGTATCAGTTTATGGTGGGAAATTCTCTTGGTGTGAAACTTGAAGTAATTTATAGAGCCAAAATCCTAAGTTTTAAGGCCCTTGTACATAAATAAAATATGCTCAGCAGATGAAAAAATCATTTGTAATTTTAGAACGTGCTGCGAG